TCCAACAATTTAGGTGTTCTCTTGGCAGGATATCCTTGAGAGCATACATTGAATACACAATTGTCCAATTTTGCCATTGATCAGCTGTAAATCCTCCAAAGCTATGAGCAATCTTTCCTGGAATTCTTCCAATGTCTTGTGGAGTTATCATTGAATCAACACTGGCTTGCATCTTTTTAAAATCTTCCTCGCTAAACATTGGTGAGTCAGCATTCTGCCAAATGTTCTTCATCATATGTTTAGCTGTGCCAAGGTACAAGTTGTGCATTGGATCTATCACAAAAAACCTGAAGCAATCAAAATAATCAAGTTCATGGAGAACAGAGTACCTTGCTCCATGTTCAGAACATTTAGCTTGTTGACTTGTTGGTGATGTTTCAAATAAAGTGTCTCTTGCTGATTCCTTGTGTTCACGGGAAATTCTAGGTGTCCATAGTTCACGATCAAAGCCAGAGAAATCTAAATGATCACCTTTATAAAAATGTTTTTTACAACGAGAACAACCTTGATTTGCCATATGACCCATAAAGCCACCTATTTTTCTTGATGCTGGAATGTCACATGTGACACAAATCATTCCAACTTTAATAGATTTTTTGAAAATRCTGTCACTCACAGAAAATTTCTCACCACCTCTCCACAATATCTTTAGCTCATCAACAAGGGGTCTCAWAARARTATTTGCAGTTAACTTTGGTTCAGATGGTCCAGGCAGAATTCCTATGACAATAACATTTTCAAGTTTATACCTTTCCTCCCTAGGTAAATTTAGGACGCCCATATACAGCACCCCAATTGATCCTGGCGAGTGTTTATGGTGTTGAAACCAGTCAACATTAAAAGATAATGCCAAGCTATTTATGTGTGACAAGAAGCCAGAGTTTGATAATTCTTTCCACACACGCCCATGATGAACATYAGACATAATTCCTTCAGGAGCTTCTTTCCCTCTCCACTCTTGGCACTTACTCCAAAATCCAGGACGTTTGAGCAATATTTGCAGAGATTGTATCAGAGAATTATAAGCAAAAACCATTCTTGGATAGAACATTGTTTTCTTTCTGCCAAGAACTGCTTTTAAAAGAAATTCTCCACAGGGCCCTTCAATTAAATGCAAAATTTGACATCATTGACAATTTATTTTCAATACAAAAAGGAATAGTACTAGGTATAGTTATAATTAAGAAAAGGTTTCTTTAGTGAATGGAAAAGTTATGTATTGATTTTTCACTAATATTTGAAGAAYAAATATTAAGTAACTCTTATTCATACAATGGTACAGACTAATACACCTTAGTAAAGGGATGTCGTCAGCCCCCGAAATCTGGAGAAATTGTCACGATTATGTGTATGACGTCATATGATGTGAATGACATCACAAATGACGTCATGTGTATGTAAACGGCGAAAACCGGAAATGATGGCAAATGTATGGGAATAATTATCAATAATATATACTTCAATAGTCAAAATTTGATTCATGGGTTTAATAACTTCATTTTTACTTTTGAAAGCAATAGAAAGTGCAAAGGAATAAAGTAAAAATGCACATAGATCATTACCTAATTGTAGCTTTTTCTAGCAAGTATAAAAAACAATGTCCAGATTTTCACTGCATAGTTGATTTGCAACTGTACACAAAGAATAAAAACAAACAGTAATTGCACATACCTCTTTTGCTCCTGTGAGGATGATTAGGCCAGGGGACATATCTACATTTAGCGGAAACCTTGTTTCCTGAACGTATATCAAAGCAGTCTTCATACTTATATAAGGACTTGCAATTGGGACACACAACATATTTGTAGAAATCATCATCAGAAATCCCTAGAATTTTCTTAACTTTATAATGTGATTTTGGAAATAATTTTGCGAGTGCAGCCATAGAATTATCAAGCATCCCCAATAACCAAAAGAAATGACACAAAAACTTTATAAGTACTGTCAGAGCAGTGTCCGTTATAGCATATTGGCTTTGCCAAGATGTAAGAAATWACATMAGCCAAAGCACCAGTACCTCAATTTTGGATTGGTTATTTCTAATGTCAGGGGTTAGATCTTGAGAGGTAGAATCAACATTTAGAGACGCGGAACAATCAAAGTCTGCCTCGTTGTCTGGACCTCGTCYCAAGTCTCCGTGGGCGGTTCTATAGTATTGTCCCTTTCTTCGGTTTCCTCTTCATCAATATTATCAAAGAAGTCTTGATCCTCTTGCTCGTATAAACGTCGTCTTTCGAGTCTCGAGCGCAGGAGATTAGAGACTCTGTTCGGGATCGTAGCTCCGCTACGAGGCGAAGCAATTGGAGGTTCAACAGGAGCAGATTCAGATTCATTATAATCTTCGTGAATTGGCGGAGATTGATCATCAACAAAATCTAGGCTGTCGTTCGTTTCATCGGTGCTATTACTTGAGGCGGAAGATTCGCCACAAAGAGCTCTGTGTTGGTTGATCCATGAAGAAGCAAAGCTTTGTCCACACTTGCTACAAGTCTGCCRGCGACGTTTCCTACTCCCCTGCATAATATAAGGAAAAGAGAAAATATAACAGATCTAAAACCGAGAACCTCCGAGAGACCGAAACCATGAAAAGTGTAAACAAAAAATATAGTTTGGCGGGAAAAATAGTCGTGAGACTAGGTCATAAATATTTTAATCCAATCACAAGCTTYGAAATATAATTTCATGACGTCATTGATTAAGGTCCAATTATAGATCGTGTTACCCCGTGACTGCCATGAGGTGCGAAATTCAAATTGAGCTGTTAATTCTTGTTCTAGTTATGTAGTTGTTGGGACGATTTTGACTTATAAATCGCAATTCATGTGACATGTATTCACGAAAATTTGCAGCAAACATGAAAATTTGGTGTATATTTATCCGAATAAGAAAATATTTTATTAAGATTTACAAATATATATACGTATAGTTATTCATTATGAAAAATAAAATTCATTTAAAGTTATATCCTGAGTATAATGTCTTTATAAAAATCGTCTAAATTACGCTCGGATTCAATACAAAAATATGAAAATCATCTAAAAGGAAATATCGGGAAATGACATGTTATGCAAAGAATTAAAGKAGGTAAAATCCCTTGTTATCCGCAAATAATCTCGGCATGAAAATCCCGTAAAATGCACATAATCCATCCATAAGCTATAGAGAAAACGCAAGGACGTTACACGATAACCACGCGTTGTCTTTGCATTATCGAGATGTATCACATCAGATTTTACAAAAAAAGTCGCATTAGGGCAATTTTAGTAAAAGCTGCGTTATACCTATAGCCGTATTATGCGGGCAATATGCACGGGTTGCACTAATTATCTTACGTGGCATAACTTGGTAAAATGAATGTTATGCCGTAAAGTATCCTCGTGGTATAATTCAGTAAAATGCSTATAATCCACTTATTAACACTTATAGGAAAATTCGGTAAAACGGTACGTTTACTGAAATAATCCCGACGGTAAAATGATTTGATAAGGCGCGTTAGGATAATAAAAAAAGGCGAGGAATATATAACGTTACGATAAAATAATCCCAACATTATCTGACGGTAAAACGCAACCGCTCTTGCCGTGTTTTATACAAAAAATGCTTGTGCCTCTCGCCACACAGTCAATGTTACCCTCTTTTGGTTTGCGGTATTCCTGTGCTTAAAATAGCCGTGATGCAATGGACCGGCGTCATTTGTTAAAATAGTCTCCATTCAATCCTAAAGTCCGTCTTTTCAAGGTTTTTTGAGGTAGGTACTTCCTATTTTCTTTATCCTAATAAGCTATATATGCCTTATCAACTGCTTTGTTTGTTGTCATAAATTCTACTTTCTCTGTCTATAGACCGAATGACAAACTCAAGGCACGTCAGCGCGCGCTGCATAGAAACGAGGCTTAATATGTAAACAAACCAAAATATTACGTCGCTAAGTGTTGAGCCTGTCGCTGTCACATCGCTGTTCATAGTCTTTTTTTTCAATTATTTCAATCGTTTAGATAGCTTTTAATACCTTTTAATAATCTAGTGTCTTATATAATTCTTGGTTAGGTAGTTCAATTTGCAATTTTTAGAATTTTTATTAGGATTTTTTCAATTTTTCTCGGCGACTYGTCCGAAACTGACTCGATACAATTATGGACGAAAACAGCCATCCAAGCCAAGGTAAGTCGATTATTTGATCATTCTTGAATATTATACATATTTCATCCACATGTACTGCTTAAATGAGATGTTTTTCTTGTATTGAAAACATTGTTTTTTTCGGTTTTCGCTTTTTCACATCGATAAAATGTATCCATGTTTACATAATTACGGCGCGATAAAGTTACAACTCACACCTGCAGTGGACTGTCATTGGATTCACAATTATTTTTTCGTTAACAGAGAATGAACTTATTGAAGAAGACATACCAGGATGTCAGCTTAATTTTTCAGAACTTGCATCCTATCGAGTTGAACAACTTAAGTTCTGGCTTTCTTGTCGTGGTGACTCATTGAAGAATCTCCCTACAAAAGCTGCTTGTATACAAAGGTCAGTTTTTAGCTGTACATGGAATATAATGATCTTAATGTTCTACATCTAAAATTGTTCTTCCAACAGGATTAATAACTACGTAAAAAATGGTCTAAAAGATAAGATCACTGACCCCACTCCACTTAACATTTACTCGAAGACCAAAAGTTTAAAGAGGGATCACAATCCTGAGACAAGTCACGATAATTTAGTTTCTTCTCCATCTTCTGATGCTCAGTACATGAAAGGTAACTTACTTATTAATCGACTTGTCAGTTTTGTATCGATTAACCGATTTATTAATTGTATTTGTTTACCACTCTGTAGGAAATTATTGGATGACTAATAGTAAACAACTGCAATGGTCTAAATCTCTGCAACATGCACCAATTTTCACTATAAAAGAGAATAAAAGAAATTTTTCAGCTCATCTGGAAAAACAGGAAAGACCCAGAAAAGAGCCGAAAATCTGTTATTTGATAACTTTCTGGACAGTGATGAATGTGGTCATGACATCGAATACTTTTACATTAGAGCTGTATGCAGTGCATCATACACAAAATCCCAGTTTCACAAATTAAGTTGCTGTCTGTCAATAAAAACTGCTCAAGTTATTTATGCTTACTGTACCTGCAAAGCTGGAAAAGGAGAGTTTTGTAATCATGTTTATGGACTTCTTAAATTACTGACCCAATTTGTACTTGATAAGTCGGACAGTATACCCCTTCAGCTGCCTTGCACATCAAGACCGTGTGGATTGACAGTGCCCAAAGTAAGAAAAATGAATGTGCAAAAACCCACCGTAATGGAAGCTGTAATCAAAAAGCCTAAACTTGGACAAAGAAGTGGAATACAATGTAACCTATATGAAGCCAGATCAGTTGAACAACAAAATCTGAATTTTGATGATTTAAATGAGATGAAAGAGAACTTAACACATCTTGATCCTAATATTCCTATTATTAATGTTATACGAAACACCATTTCAGACTCTGAGTGGACAGATACCATACATGTATGTAAGATTATAATAACAATGTTCATATTTACAACTGCTGGTTGGGTTGTACTCCCGATGGAAAAGTAGTGTTCGGTGATTTGTTTGGAATTGCAGAGTGTAAATGCCCAGAACAGTACAAAAATTCAGATGTTTTTGATGTTGCTGGCGATCAATCAAACAACTTTATGCTTTATGTTCAAGATGGTCGATTATRTATGAAGAAAACTCATAGATATTATTATCAAATACAATGTCAKCTTGCTTTGACAGGTGCCGCCTTTTGTGACTTAATTGTATATACTTTCAAAAGCATTGCTATTGTCAGAATTCTATTTGACCAAGATTTTTGGACAGATGTTGTACATGTAGTTGGACAGCGGTATTTTCAGCATATACTTCCAAAACTGGCAGAGTCTCAATTTTAGTTAACTACTAGACAGCATTACCTACTAGCTAATGTCACATGGTACATGACATCGTGGCAAATGATTGACAGGTCACATCAACAAAGTTATTAGATGTTTTCCCATAAGT